TCAAGCTGTATGATAATGAAGGAAAGGGTACGACGGCCACAGCTCTTCCCAAAACGATAGTAAGCCATTCTAGGGCCGTACCTCGGAGACAGGAGCAGCTCATCGTTCTCAATATAAACTTGATAAATTCTCCCCGAAAAGCCAGACGGCAAGATTAATCTCCATTATTCTCCTTCGGTACTTGCTAGGGGGTTCTATGCCACCCTTTAGTCTAGTGGACGTACTGGCGGCGACAAAAGCGACAGTCCGGCTAGCAGAAAAGCTCTTAGCATCAAGCGCTATACAACCACCATTCCTGACCTGGAGACAACCGTCTCAGGCAACGGCCAGAAGACATGGATCCCGACATGCGGTACACTCCTGACCGCGAGGTGGGCTGGGGGATGAACCACCCCTCCGCTGGAAGTTCACAACTGGGCCGAGGCCCTGTCCGCGACACCTGCGGTGACAGTCCTATCCCGGATTCATCTTCGCGGAATATGCCACTTTGGTTCTAAGCCATGCTGATCTTAGCGTAGTCGGCAGGACATGTCTGCTGCCACGTTCGTCGGGGATGTGGATTTTATGTTGCTGTCGAATTATTTCCCTGTCATGCAAAAGTCCATGGGAATTGGAAAGGTGAGGCTATTGACACTCGAAGGGCATCATACAGAATGATAGTAAGAATGGTTGGAGATAGAATGTGACGTTTGAAGGGGGATGGAAGGTTGATTTATGTGTAGAAACCTATGATTCATTCATCACTTGTCTAAGAGACTGATTCACGGAAATAATGAATTCAAGGTTGTATTCCTGCGTCACTCAGTGTGAAGCTTATCAAGTCTATTCCTGTATCTTTTCAGACTGGGAATAATAGATGACCGCCGTGAATTTATCGCCAGCGATGTGAGAGATGCGAGCTCCCCAATACGTCCCGTAAAGTACATTCTGTAGTAGGGTATCTGATAGTGATGGATATCTAATATCAGCCCTAATATCGGTGTATCACTGTCAGTTACACAGAGAGATCCATGGACACGATTAGACGATGAGCAACCGTCTCACCTTGCCCATATTGTAAGGATTAGATGGTCATTCTCGGGCCATTTCACTATAGATGATAGCAGTCAAAACCGCTGATACTTCCCCTCGGTCACCGATCGATATGCCCATTAACTCTGCAGACCAAACAAAACAGCATTTCAGAATGATTGAATTTGGCCCATGTAACCCTCATCTACCGAGTAAGCGCAAGCTACATAAACCCCCGACTGCTAATCCACCATCGTCAGCATCTCCAAAAAAAATACTTCCCTCTTGCCCAACATTTGTAACCTCAAGCTCTTCTAGATCCCAATATGCCGGCCAACACCCTCATCCTCTATCCGAATGAGCCCGATATCACATTCGACATCAACTACTGCCTGAACCTACATATGCCTCTAGTGGAAAGGCTCTGGACCAAGTATGGGTTGAGAAATTGGCAGGTGACAAAGTTCACCTGCACCCCAGATGGATCGAAGTCTCCATACTTGATCTGCACCACCATAGAGTGGGAGAGCATCGATGGCGTGCGAGCTGCGTTTGCCGGTCCCGAATTTGTAGACCTGATAAAAGATGCTGCGAATATGAGCAACAAAAGGCCTATTTTCCTCATCGGCGAGCAACTTGGGGCGGATTGAGATTGAAGTCGGCTCTGGAGAGGTGATAATCCCCAAACTGGCCATATCATACTCAGTGGAATGGGAATGCTAAATCATATAAAGTCCGCGTTTGTTTCAATACATATTCGTCGACCTTTTCTCCCTGAGAGGCTCAGTTGCTAGTCCCAGCTCGAATATTTATACTGGATATTGATGCAAAATCTGCCATGAATATGCCTTCAACCTGATGGTTTCTATGGATCTGAATTAGTAACCTTTGGCTTACCGTATCTCCACAAAAGCCTTGAATTTGAATTAATAATCTTGGTATGGCCCAACGTACTTCATTAGTAATTAATATTGTATCCTTTCACTCAATATAAATGTCATACTCGCTTTCTGCCAGCTATCACATCCATCAATCATGTCTCCGAACCAAGCTGCGTGGATCGACACCCTAGGCCAGCCCTTTCGGGTTGGCCCTGCGCCGATGCCAAAACCCGGTCGTGGACAACTGGTAATTAAGAACCACGCGGTTGCAATCGTACGTATATATTCAATTAGATATTCACGCCTTTGCTAACAAAGTAAACTAGAACCCAGCAGACTGGAAAAACCAGTAAGCAGCCAACAACCACCAAGAATGTCAGCCGGCATCAACACTAACTTTCCAGGGACAATGGCTACTTCATGAAAGTATTTCCTTTCGTCCTCGGAATAGATATCGCAGGAACAGTTGAATCAGTCGGCGAAGGAGTCACTCGGTTCAAGAAGGGTCAGCGTGTGATCTCGTAAGCTATCCCAGGGACCCTCCAGGACTCCAGGGTACTGATAGACTCTGCTAGACATGTCCAGGGACTAAGAGACCAAGACCCAGCACAAGGCGCATTCCAGCTGTACCCCATCGCCGAGGAAGTTTTCACGTCGGTAATTCCCGATTCTATGAGTTTCGAGCACGCCGTCGTGCTCCCTCTGGCCATCTCCACCGCAGCAACCGGTCTTTACCTCCCGAAATATCTAGGTCTACCGTCTCTGCCGTCGCTTAACCCTAAGCCCACCGAGAAGACACTCCTCGTCTGGGGAGGCGCATCTTCCGTCGGCGCCGCTGCTATTCAGTTCGCATTTGCTTCTGGCCTGAGAGTCATCGCCACCGCCTCGCCGGCTAACCATGAGTTCGTCAAAGCCTTGGGCGCTAGCGCGGTATTCGACTATCGGTCCCCTTCTGTAGTAGAGGATATTGTCAAGGAGCTTGAGGGCAGTGACTTTGCAGGGGTCTATGATGCCATTTCTAAAGAACCGAGCTTTGAGCCGATCACGGAGATCTTGAAGCGTCTGGGCCGTCAGGCCAAAGTTGCCGCGGTGCTGCCTCGCCAGAGACCGTCCGAGGGCTTGGACCCCATGTTTGGTATGTCCTATATCCTCTCCGGTAGCCGTATACCGTGCTCACGTTCGCAGTGCTTGGATATGAAATTGCCACGGCCCCGAATGAGAAGATGGGTGAGGCTATTTGGGCGAGGTTTGTGCCCCAGGCGCTGGCCAGTGGACAGCTGCGGGCAAAGCCTGATCCTGTTGTTGTTGGTCATGGCTTGGACGAAATTCAACATGCGCTTGCGGTGCAGAAAGCTGGGGTTTCTGCTAGGAAGATTGTGGTTACGCTCTAGAGATTTGGCATTTCTATTTGTTTACGGATTAATTGATTCTTGAGAACTTCGGTCTCTAACTTGGAGAGATGCGTGTCGGGATGCCATTCCAGTGGATCACATCACTTCTGGATTCTAGATGACGCAGGTCTCATGCTCGAGTCGTCGTAAAAAGGATATACCTGTGTTTCCCTTTCCTTTTTATTCGTTTCACCGTCTTGAGACTCGTTGTCAGTCACTAGTATACCTCCCTTCAGGAGCACAGGAGCTTTCCTAGCAGCAACGCGCAAACCAGCCACGCAATCGAAACAAGACAAATAAATCTTCAGACCAAATACATAAGACCTGCATGCTCAAACAGACCACGCCGAACAAAGCCGAAACAAGACAATGATCTTGATATGCTGCAGCTCGACCTGCGACACAGAATCAAACAGAAATCTCTTGCTGGATACAAACAATCCACCCCCGACATCTCCCCTCAAAGCCTCCGTCCACAAAGCCAACTCAAACAGCAAGCTCTGCGCAACATAGCTAACCAACAACCGCGTCCTCCACCACACCCCAAACGCCAGAATCAAGTAACACGAGGTCGAGCACAAAGCTCTCCACGCACGTAACATAGAGCTCTGTAGTCCATTCACGGCAAATCCGCGTAACCCACACCAACCACCCTCCGTGTCATGAATGGAACAGTGACACCTGGGAAACAAAGAATCATGGCGCATTGACTCACTCCCCTGAGTAACCTCTCGTGGTAAGTGTGTAGTAAGTATATAGGTATGTACGACGTCGCACGAGAACCGTTGCTGTACCAGTGCTACACAGCCATGCCTCCATAGCACAGCCTCCAGCTTCATCCATTAACATGATCAATACCAGAGCAAATGGAATGGAACCCATATGTAACTTGCCACGGGCGAGATTCCTAGCCTGTATTTCACAGCCTAGTGGCGTATTATTAACGGGGATTGGTACTCCGTATAGCACCAGGAATTATTGCATGGCTATTGTGCCACGGATTAAGGGTCCGATGTAACAGGGAAGGAGAAGATGCAAGATGAGATGAGTACGAGTATCCACATTAATACAGAGTACTACACCGCTGGTTTCCAGTATATTAGCCATTAGCAGAAGTACGGACCTGGTATTTCGGCCTACAGGCGGGTCAGATGCAGGATGTTGTTCTAGAAGGACGGGGTTAATCGGCCAGTTTACCGATGAATAGGTAGGGTCCATGTTGCCTGGTAACTAGGATTATCTGCCTGCAGCAGACTAATGGAGGGGTCCAATCGGAGGATTCCAGTCACTGTGCAGGAATTATGGGCCCTGATGGTGAATCCATGGATATACTACACGAGGAGGGCTGAAAGATCAGCCAGGCTGCCATGGTGCGGCCCTCCAGTGAAATCTACACGTGCGGGCATGCAGTGCCTCCCGGCTCTATAGCAAGTGTACATACCATCACGATAATATACAATTTGAACGAGTAGTACGGACTCAGTACTAGTAGTACATACATCCAATAAGCAGCAATAGAAACCACTGCATCCCCTACTGTACAAATTCAAATTTGTCATTCCGGCATGCTTGCAAAACAAGCCATCAAACTCCGTACGCTAAATTAAAAATCCCTACTAAGGGCTCTCGAGGTGTTGGAACTGAGATTGCTGTATACAATTTGTCATGCGCACCAGGCTTATACATCCGTAGATATACCCGTCATACATCAACAAATGGCCGACTGGCCCAGTGGTTAAGGCACCCGCTTTACAATCGCAGTTCCAATTGCGAGCGAATCGCGGGGGATCGCAGGTTCGATCCCTGCGTCGGTCATTCTTTTTTGGTTTTTCCAAATTTCAATACTGAGGTATTGGGATTTCTTTTTTTTCCCCCCAAAAAAGAAACAAATTCCCGGTTACTAGTTAACTAGATTGGAACTGGTATCCCGTCGGCAAGGGATCGTCAACTCGGTAAAGTTGCCATTTATGTGGATTCGCGCTGACTGCGGCGGGTTATCGATTTCAAATATATATACGGAGTACATCATCCGCACCGCTCATGGTTGTCACTTCAAGTTTATCTATGGTACCACTGCTGGCAGTGTACTAGTACTGCCAGTGTATGGTGTACTAGTAGTACAACTAACTTCAAGAAGTTAATCCCTAAAACTTGAATGTGAGGACCTGTGAAAATGACACCAAAAATGACCGCTACTGAGGCCATCAACAGGTCGCCTCTCCACCTGTAGCGCTCGGCCAAGCTCTAGGCACGGAGACTTATTCTAGAGCTCGACTGGGCGGCTGACTTGATAGATCGGAGGACAGACCTCCTAACGATTGACTTGCGCTTGCTAGTATTAAATTTCTAATATCTCGCCACCGAGTTCTAGAACTTGATGAACAGATGACCAGTCGATCTCTTCGATGGTTTTCGGGAAATACAACATGGTACGGAGTAAATATGGGATAATGAATTACGTGGATGAGACTTCGGTGGCATTTTGTTAGTGAAGTTAAGAACAATATACTGTTCCTTCTTCCCTTGCTCGATCATGCTGGAATATTGTCCGTTTGGTTTGAATCATTGCATATGGTGCAAATGCCTAGCACGGTCTTTTAGAAGCTCTCATCCCACTTCTTCGGCTACAGGGAAGTCAATTGTACCACCCTTAGTGCCAGCCTCGATCACAAGCTACGCGATATTGAGTTGGGTGTGTTCTGCTAGATTGTATCCTGATCGTTCAGGTTGAGCTGTGGAATGAGACAGCTAAATAGAGGTAGACACCATTGAGAATGAGAAGTTATTATTCTGGGTTGTCATCGCTGTCTTCGTCGGTGCATAGAAAATTATCGTCTCCAGAAACGTCAACAAGATATGTAGCGATTAGACCTCACTAGGCCACTGTAGCTTTTAAACGAAATACGTTCACATTGAAACCTTTCAGATCATTGAACCAAAGCATACTCTATTGGAGAAACCTGGAAATTATATACCCTCACCCAAAAAAGAAAGCGGTAAACAACGACAGTAAATCCGCCGGGAAAGCTTTTCTCCCCCGCCGACAAGTTTTCGCTTGCGTCCAACAGAAGCTCCAGTTTTACCCTCACCACCTCTTTTCTCCGTGCCATTGTCCTGACATGGCAAGCACACTCCCAGCCCTGGCCATTCCAGGCCAACGTCTGGGCCCAGTGGCCTCCTACTCCGCCGGTCCAGGCACACACGTGCAACAATCCAACGTCTACGCGTCCATCGCCGGACCAGTCGTCGTCGATCCGGCGCAACCAGGCTCAAAAGCCAAAGCTACTTTAAGCGTCTCTCGTTCCATCAGGGCCCCTGGAACAGGCAATGTCGTGAAACCCGTAACCACATCAGCCGGCGCCAAGCCCGCAGCAACTTCCGCTCCCCCCAAGCCCAAACTGAAATATAACACCCTCCCCACAGTCGACTCGGTGGTGCTTGCGCGCGTGACTAGGGTCCAGAAACGTCAGGCGACAGTCTCCATTCTCGTCGTGTTGGATGACCCAGCTAGTACCCAGGGGGTCAACCCGTCACAGACAGCGTCGGATAACGACAATATCGAGGCGATTCTCAGCTCCGCCGCCAACCCAGAGAACCATAGCAGTTCGGACGAGCTCCGCTTCCAGGCTCTCATCCGGAAGGAAGACGTGCGTGCCGTCGAGAAAGACCGTGTCGTTATGGACGAGATGTTCCGTGTCGGTGATATCGTCCGTGGAACGGTTATTTCCCTCGGTGATCAGAGTTTCTACTATTTGACGACCGCGCGCAACGATCTGGGCGTCGTCATGGCTCGTAGCGAGGCTGGAAATATGATGTTTCCGGTTAGTTGGAAGGAGATGAGAGATTCTGCCACCGGGCAGGCGGAGTTGAGGAAGGTGGCGAGACCTTTTTGATACGTTGAAGTCTGTTTTCAGGGCATTCGTCGGTATCCTTATCGATGTCTTTTGCCGCCAACCTTATCATTGTCAGGCTGAGAATGGCGTTTCTGCGGTGCGCCCTTTCTTGGGTCTTCTGAAACTTGCGTGCCGGCGCGGAGGGCTGGAGAGATCCATTGGTCCCTTTTCTGTTTCGGAAGAAATTTACGGCGTCCTGTCTGGTGCTGTCGAAGTGATTCGGAGTTGAGAAGCTCTGCGTTACTCTCAAGGTGCAGATGCTCTGTTACCTTGTATACTACTGCTGTACATATCGAAGGTACTGCTATGCCAGTGCTTCTATGCGCTTCACATTCAATGATGTGTGATGAGTTACGAACAAGCTAATTCAAGAGAATACAATAACTCTTTGAGATCTTCTATACAGCCCTGAAAGGCTCGACCCCATCTGCTGCCCCAATACGCCTCCATAGTATCCATGGTCTGGGTTTCTCAATGCCGAACTGTGTTTGTCATCGGAGGAAGATGAACGGTATCTCGCGTGAGGAAATCCGAAATACTCATCTTCACGACCCTCTTTCTGACATCCCCATCCTCACATCCAGTGAATAGCAACCGTTACGATCGAGGGCACAACAACTTTCAGAACATGCGTCACTTCAAAATCTGCCTAACAATGCAATGTGTTGTAATATTCCGAACAACTTTTCCCCCTCTGTACAGTATGTATGTACATGTAGAACCAAACGCAATATCCAATTCCTGTATCTATTGTACCATAAATCAACCCAAAATGAAAAACAAAACACTTTTTACTTTTTCAACGTCTTCTGCTTCTCCGCGTCAATCAACTTCCTCCCCTGGACAACTAATCCCTTTCGGCGTCTCACGGCATCCATATACCGCTTCGCGACGTTTTCCCTATCAGCCAACTCACCCAGATCTTCCAGTTCCTCCTCGGTAGCTGGAACCCAGAACGGATCCTCGTCGAGGGCCTCGAAGCCCGCGAAGATAAGCTGGGGTTGCGCAGCGCCTGATGTGCGTTTGCGGATCTCCTCGGCGAATCCGAAGGATTCGGCGACGGGGAGGAGCGCGATGATTGTGAAGAAGGGGGTGCCTTCTTTCATGGTTTCGGAGAGGATACGGCCGCGGCGTCGGGTGATTACACCGTAGACACGACCAAGGACTTCGGCTGCTTTGGGTCAGTATGTGTTCTGCAGGAGGGACATGGGACAGGGTTGAAGAGGGTGGCGTACTGGATGCTTGGATTTCACAGCTGTACATCGCAAGCATGATCCGGGGACTCCAGTCTAGGAATCCTTGTGAAATGCTCTCGCGGACTACTCTGATCGCCTCGCCTGTCAACCGGCCGAGGTCGATTTCTTCTTCGCTGGCATTCACAGAAACCTCTTCCAGGAAGACGGCGGTCCCTTGCATGGGCTCCTGGCAGAGCGGACCTTGGCCGGTTGCAAGTTGGAAGGCATGTGCGATCTTGTCACAGAAGTCGCGCACGATCAGAGCTTCTCGGCTGCTGGTTTCGGCGACTGTGGGTTGTTGCTTTGGATCTTCCAGTAAACTAGTTCTTGTCAGTACCATTGTATGGCGGGGGTTCTTGGTGTGGCTTACAATTTCTCGCAAGTGTTGACGGCAGTGGCATCGACTATGATGTTTGGTCCTACACGTCTTGGGCCAAAGGCAGTGATCCTATCGACGACATCCTTCCACAGCTCTTTGTCGTCTTTCACTTCTTCATCGAAGATTTGGTTCAGTTCATGTCTGAAGTCCTTGAGGGAGAGCACATTTCCTTCTCGGGCTTCGTCTGTCGCATCGCTGGTCTCCACCTGTTGGTTGTTATCCGCTGTTCCGTTAGCTGTCTCAGTGCTAGGCTTGTCTTCTGCTGCGGTCCGCCGTTGGGACTGTAGTCGTTTGATAGTTCCAACATGTTTAGTAAAGAATTCAGTCACGGCTTCAGGCAAGGGCACAACCCGCAACCGAATGGTTAACTGCTTTGACGCTGAAATTGCCAGCACACCTCCCCGTCCGAGGTCTGGGTTCTTGGGCGCAGCCATTTCCGGTGCACTGACGATGGTTTCGCGGTATGGTACAATTGTCTGACCTGTCTGAATCTCACATTTGGCGAAGCGCTCGCGAAGGTCCTTCAAGCAGCGCTCGAGATGCAGTTCGCCGGCTGTCAGGATGACATGCTCGCCGTTGGGGAGTACATCGTACTGTGCGCAGGGGTCACTTTGCTCGAGGAGTCGCAGACCAGTGACCATCTTACCCAAGTCTGCAGGGTTTACTGGCTCAAGAGCTACTCGCACGATCGGTGGGTGGTGGAGAGAAACACCAGCCAAGTTAATGCTGCCTTCAAGTTGCGAGCACAGAGTTCCGGTCTTCAGTACATAGCCCGCAAGACCTCCAATGCCAAAGACAACTCCCGCGGGGACAGACTTTAGTGGTTCGAGACTTCGTCCCATAAGAAGATACAGGTCTGTAACCGTCACCTTTTGTGGTACGGGACTAGCGTGAGGATTTTCCGGCGAGAACTTTGGTGCAAGGACGTAGACAGAATCGCCCACAGAAAGAGTTCCCGAATAGAGTCGTGCAAATCCAATCAGGTGCTCTGGATCTTCCTTCTCTTCCTGGTCTGCCAGTTGGTCGTTGTCGTTCAAGGTAACAGATTCAAAGGCAGAAGTGACCCGAGAGTAGCCGTCTTGTTGTTCCCCGTTGGATTCCGCTTGCATTTTGGCTATCTCTTCTCTCTTTTTTCGGGCAATATCTCTAGCCTCGTCTGCTGACATGGTCGCACCGGATCGTTTCTTGCTTGAGAGCAGCTCGCTTTCCGGAATGGCAACCATTTTGCTGACATATGCTACCACGGGTTCATTTAAGTCTGTTTTGAAATTGACCATTGCGTCTTTTACGTTCGCATTAACAAAATCC